AGAAGCCGGAGTTCGGGCAGAACCCGAACTAAGCCCATGTGGAGGAGGAGTGTGTGTCACATTTCCCCCACACTTTTGCTTTGTAGTGTGTGTAGGGTGGTTTTTGTTGTGGTGGTTGTGTGCCTTCAAGTCTTTTCCGACTTACGGCGACCCTATCCTGGGGCTTTCTAGGCAAGGTTTGTTCAGAGGGGGTTTGCCATGGCCTTCCCCTGAGGCTGAGAGAGTGTGACTCGCCCAAGGCCACCCACTGGGTTTCCATGGCCCAGCTGGGAATCGAACCCTGGTCTCTAGAGTCCCAGGCCAAGGCTCACACCACTGGGCCAGGCTGGCTCTCATCTGACATAAAAGAGCTGGCCTAAAAGTGCAGAGGCACCTCAAAAGGAAGGGCCTTCAAGAAAAAAGGACATTACCAAAATAAAAGCTAAAGCACCCATAGATGAAACCCATAGGTAACACCCATAGATACAATAGAAACTAAAAACACTCATAGAAATGCCAAAGCATGCTTCTTGGTCCTGCTGGAAATGGAGGACCTGCAAGAAAAATAGAGGACATGGCCCAAATAAAATCAGAAAACACCCATAGATAAAACAAAAAACTAAAAACACTCATAGAAATGCAAATTCGGGCTTCTTAGTCATGCTCAAAATGGAGGACATTCAAGCACAAGGGTAGTCACAACACAAATAAAAGCTAAACACGCCCATATGAATGTTAATTCATGCTTTTTAGTCATGCTCAGAATGGAGGACATTTGGGAATTTCTCCTGGAGAGAAGGCTGAAATGTAGGACATGTCCTACAAAATGATGATGTTTAGTCACCCTGTTATTACGGTGCTCTTCCTCCCTCTCTCTCTCCCCCTCTTTTGTGTTCCCTTAGTCGCTTTGCTTGGGGGACAGAAATCTGTGGGTACATACATCTTATCGAAACTGTAACTAATTTCAGAGCTGTGAAAAATGAGTGCTTTGGGCTCAGGGAGACCAGATAAAGGAGGTATGGTAAAGGAGGACAAGGCGCTGCAAAATGTAGGACCTTCAAGAACAAGGGAGGACATGACCAAAGCTAAAAATTCTAATAGAAATATAAATGCATACTTCTTAGTTATGCTCAAAATGGAGGACGTTTTGGAATTCTTCCTGGATGGAAGGTTGAAATGTAGGAGGACATGCCCTGGAAAAGTAGGACGCCTGGGCACCCTGTTTGGGGTACAAACAGTGTAGAGCCACTTCAAAGATGTAACTTTTCTAGATGTCAAAGATAAAAGTTCAAATCCTGAGAGCCTCGGAAGCCATCTCTCTCCCCAGTCCAGATGGGAAGCAGGAGTGATTTCTAGCACTCTGTACATTCCCAGAGGGACTGTCAGCTTTATTGGGGCTCTACAGACCGGCCAAAAGGGCTGACCTGGGGGTGGAGTGGGGGCATGGCGACCGCATGCCGGCCACCCCAATTCTGCCCTGACCCTGGTGTCAGGGCGCTCCCTTGTCGCAGCGTTCACACATGCTGCACCAAAGGAGCGCAGAAAAGCCACAGCAGCGGCGGCTAGGGCATTTTTTTGCCGCTCTATAAAGGAGTGGCATTTGCCAGCTGTTTTTAGAGCGGCAAACCACTGGATCAGGACCGTGACGTGCTGTTTCTGCGGCTCTGATCCGGCACGGACCCTGCCTCTTAGGGACTGTCTGTTCAGCCCCATAGTTGTTCTTTGACTCTTTTAAAGGTTTTGTACGTGAACGTGCATTTGAGAGCAAAGCGCTTACAACAGCAGGGTCTGTGACTAATTTTATACTCTCAGAGGTTATTTATCTTAATTATATCTGAGGCTTTCTGGCACACAAATATGTGCAACATCATGAAGCCAACATCTTGAATAGTGTGACAGTGACAGTTTTCTTCATATAGAACGGCTACAGTTCTCATGATAACTTCCCAATTGGCATTAACGGTTCTTTACACAGACTTTCAGCTGCTGTTATCCAATGGTTTTAACTCTGCATATGAGTTGGACTAAAATGCCCACAATCCCCTACCTTAGGCCATGCAGGCTGGGGCTCCATGCAGTCTATAATATCCAGAGGGCCAAAGTATCCCCCAGTCCTGTCATACCACTTCCTTCTTGGTCATATACTTTTCATAAATTTGTTGTTGTGTCCCTTCAAGTATTTCTGACTTCCGGGGACCCTAAGGTGAACCTATCATGGGGTTTTCTTGGTAAGTTTCTCCAAGTTTCTTTGGCAGATTTTTATTTCTGTTTTATGGTTTGATTGTCTCTTTGTACAGCGCTGTGTACATTGAAAGCGCTTTAGAAATAAATTTTAATAATAATAGTAATAATAATAACAAGGGGGGTTTGCTAATGCCATCCTCTGAGGCAGAGAGAATGTGACTTGCCCAAGGTCACCCGGTGGGTTTTACATGGCTGAGCCAGGATTTGAACCTTAGTCTCCAGAATCCAATGCTCAAACTACTATGCTAAGCTGGCTCTTGGCCTGTAACCAATACAGGCCAAGTAAATTTTAGAGTTGAGAGCAGTTTGAATGTTAGACTACAGTGCTGGAGATCAGAGTTTGAATCCCTGCTCAGCCATGGAAACCCACTGGGTGACCTTGGGCAAGTCACACCCTGTCTCAGCCTCAGAGGAAGGCAAAGACAAATGCCCTCTGAATAAATCTTGCCAAGAAAACCCCATGATAAGGTTTCCTCAGGGTCATCATAAGTTGGCAACGAAGGCACACAACAATCAAAACAAATATATTACAGAGATTCCTAGATCTCTCTATGTTCAGAGCTAGATCAGGGCTGGGAATCTGCCCTTTCTGATGTTGTTGGCTCACTAGGTGGTCTTCCCCGGACAGCATAGATAGTTGAGAGGCATGATAGGAGTTACAACAATATTTGGAGGACTGTGTGATTCCCATCTGTGCATTAAATTGATAAAAACATTCTGTATTTTTAGAAGTTGTAGTAAATGGCTACATGAAGAACTTGCACATTTTCCTATGGAATTAACTACTGTGACCTTTCCTTTTTTTCTCAAAGGTGTCTTGTCCTGGTGTCTATTTGACGGAGAAGAGTGATGTCTACCTCCATGTGTGCATTCTGGGTCAGTGCAAAGAAACTGATTGCCTTCCTCCCATCTTCCCTCTCTTGTTTCATGAGAAAATGTGGTTTGAAAAGGTAACTCAGCGTTTTATTTACTTTTTTTAAAAAAGCCTTTCTGTTGATTCTTTGAATATAGGAACCATTTTCTGGCTTAGACCAGAGGTCTGGCAGCAGTCTCAAGATGGCTCACAAGGAGGATGTGGAGTTAGATCATAGAAATACAGAGTATAAAGAACCTTGGAGTTCATGGAGTCCAACCCTGCGCTCCATAACAGATCTCTGGTGCAAGATTCAACCCGGATAGATAGGCTCTCTTGTACAGGAGGTATACCATCACCACATTCTGAGGCAGCTTGAACCATTAGGAGGTTTATTCTAATGTTTACCTGAAGTCTCCTTCCCTGAAATTTCCACCCATCACTTTGTTCTTTGAGCAACAGAGAACTGGGCCCCCCTTCATCGCAACTTTTCAGATCATTGTAGTGTTGCATATTTGTATAAAATGGAGGAAAGATTTTGAATATTTTTAATATACATTTTGTTTTTCAAAGTGAATGCATTGTTCGCATTGAGATTTGCTGATAGTGGCCACTAAATATTTTCAATGTTAGCCAAGAGAATAGTACTCCAAAATGGCAGTGGATTTTGATTTATCAGTTGTTGTAAAGCTGAGATGGGAAGACTGTGGCCCTCCAGGTGTTTCTACATTGCATTTCCCATCGTCCCTGACCATTGGCTGTCCTATCTGAGACTGATGAGCTCTAGAGTTCAACAGCATCTGGAGGGTACCAAGTTCCTCACTGTTTCTCTGAAATTTTACAAGGATTTTAGTGATCGGCCCAGAGTGAGCATATGACATGGTGAAAGGCACACTGATTTTGCTGATGTTGGCCTTTCTTCACCTTTTAACTGACAAAGAAACTACCATGCCCTTTTTTTAAATGTCTAGGCTGTCTGAAGAGAAGCACCAGGTAAAATGTGTTGACATTACCATCCATATTTTCCTCAGAATTCAAAAATATAGCCATGTTAGTCTGGATCTATATGCAAAGGGCTCTTGTAGCACCTTTGAGGCTAATTGAGAGGAAGAGGTTGGTAACATACGCTTTAATAGACTTAAGTCTACTTCCTCAGATGCATGGAGTGAGGTGTCTAGAAACAGGTCTTTATAGCTATGAATGAGCAGGTTGTATGTGTGAATAGCAATAGAAATGGAAAAGTTGTGGGTATGATGATGAGGTGACAAGTTCAGTTTTAACAACCATTGGTCGTTAGGGAACAAAGGCTGCTGCCACACTGCAGAATTAGTGCAGTTTGACACTGATTTTTAGTTGCCATGGCTCCAGCCTATGGTTTCCTGTGTAGTTTGTTGTGGCATCAGAGCTCTCTGACAGAGAAGGCTAAATATCTCACAAACCTACAAATCCCAAAATTTCATAGCATGGAGCTATGGCAGTTAAAGCACTGTCAAACTGCATTAATTCTGCAGTGCAGATACAGTCAAAGGCAAGAAAGATGTTGCCTAAAGCCAAAGTCAGTAGATAACCATAAGAATGGTGGAAGGAGCTATTGGGGTATAGTGTGATGATGGTTGGGAACCAGAAAGAAGATGGGAAAAACTGGCAAGAGAGCCCTCATGAGGCTGGGTGTTAACTACTATTATAATATGTGTCATGTGCCAGGAAACCTTTGTCATGGACTGGAGTTTGTGGATATATTCCAGTTGTGCCATTTCACTTTCTAATCTTCCTTTATAGTTTTTTTGTACAAGGACTGCTGTTCTGAGGTCCAAGATGGCATGTCCAGAAGATTGAAGTGTTCTGCAGTGGATTTTTGTGTAGTCCCCATACGAATGAAAGCTTATGCTACCAACTTCTTTCTCTCAGTCTCAAAAGTGCTACAAGATCCCTTTGCATATTTATTTTCCTCAGGTTATTTCTGGGCCTCAAGGGGTTCTGGGAGAGCTACGGTGATGGCAGGTACTGCTACTGATCAGTACTGCATTTTTGGTGACAAGCACCCACCTGGTGTCACCCACCCTTGTGGCTCAGGAACCGTGCCAGTTTTGGAGGGAGGGCATTCTTGCTTAGAAACAAATTAGTAAACAAGAAATTTCTTTGTAATAGTTTTTGCACATAAATTTACTTGTATGTACATGATTAATCAATTAAGCTAAATTTTATTTCAGTGAAAATGTATTTGTTTGATAGATCTAGTTATTTTTTAAATTTTAC